CGTGACAATCGACCTGAAGAACGCGTACTTTCAGGTAGAAGTGGTTCCGAGACACAGACCCTTTCTAAGGTTCTGTTTCGAGGGCCATGCAAACCAGCACAAGGTCCTACCCTTCGGTCTTGCCCTCTCCCCGCGCACCTTCACGAAGGTTGCCCGGGCCGCTTCTCATAGCCTCGTCCAGTGACCAGTTGATCCGACACCGAGGCAAGGTGCTCCGGCACTTAAACCGATTGGGTCTGAGGGTCAACTGGGAAAAGAGCTGCCTCACTCCGGTGAGAGTCATCTCTTTTCTCGGGATGGAGCTGAACTCCAAGAGCATGCGGGCGCACCTGTCGGTAGAGCGCGCCCGGGCCTTGCTGGCCGCCTTAGTCGCGGTGTCTTCTCGACAAGTGGTCAGACTGAAGTTATTTCAGAGGCTCCTGGGGCATATGGCAGAGAGAGTCCGGTTCCTGGAACGGACGGCTGTCTCGCTGGCACATCAACCGTCTCGAGCTAGCTGCAGTATCCTAGCGCTCCGGCGCTTCTGCCCATTCCTTCGGGATCGGCACATGCTGGTCAGGTCAGACAGCACCGCGGTCGTAGCGTACATCAACCACCAGGGCGGTGTGCGCTCCCGCTTCCTGCACTACCTCGCCCAATGATGAGGGGTGCCCTCCTTCTGGTCGTCTTCGCAACAACCGAGTACAGCTTACGCTCTCAGTGTTGGACGACTTCCCCGTCAATGAAAATTCCGGGCAGGGGCAGAAGGAGTTCCCATTCAGGTATTACAGCTTAATTCACTAACCTTCTCCAAGTTTAGTGCTGGCCTGTTTGGATGGACTTCGGGCATGGCGCTTTGTAGAGGCTCCCATTCAGTCGGTCATCGACTAAACGTCTCCGGTACCGACTGAAAGGGAACGTCTAGGTTACTTGCGTAACCCCACGTTCCCTGAATAGGGAACGGAGACGTTTCCTTTCTGCCATGCCTTGAAGTCGGGAGACTGAGGCGCCGGAGGTAAGTAGGTCGGCTCCTCAGGAAAATCCCATACTGAAGCGTGCGTTACGCCCGGTCTTATACCCGGCTGATTGCTAATCAATCACTCACGCCTGCAAATCAATTTGCCCGTTAAACAATTCGGTCCAATCTCCCATGGAGATCAGCTCCCATTCAGTCGGTCATCGACTAAACGTCTCCGTTCCCTATTCAGGGAACGTGGGGTTACGCAAGTAACCTAGACGTTTTTTTGAACAGCTTGCTACAGCCCTCAATGGTACAAGTGATGTATCCCGTAAATTGCACCACTAAATGTGCACATAATCTTAACACACTTGAATTCTTCATTTTCCAAACTCCATTGGAGTCAGCTAAATCAACAACTACGCTCGTTTTTGTGCAGCTTATGTTTGCAACAACTGGCCTACTATAGAAAACAGATAACCTGGGCTTACTATTGACTTTTCTAGCCTACCTGTGTTTGGAAAAATGTTTGTTTCCTTATTAACCATCCAAAGATGACTCTACCTTTAGAATTTAGTTTACACATCAAAGCACACTGGGCCCTACTTAATTAATCTTTTTAACTAATACAATTTTTTATTTCCCTCCTTTTTATATTTATAATGCAAGCAGAATGTAATTACAAATAATATTAAGATTTTTTTTAATATATGCCCTTCTATTAAACATGATAAAGGCCTGTACACCAATGAGTTACCAGCATGGCAGCAAACATTTTCTGTGTGTCTTTATCGTATCTTAACCAAGAAAACTCCTCCATCCAGGACATTTTGAAATGTCTTTCCGCACGTTGTTCAGTGCCTGAATACCTGTGTCGTTCCCCAGCAAGCTCCCGCTGCATGGGCCAGATGCTGTTGGAGCTGCTTTTTTTTTTTTTACTAGTGTGTGTGTGTCATCCGCGCTGTTGCTTGACAGAGACGGTTGCTTAAAGAAGTCTCACATTTTTTGATTAGACATGTTTTCTTCTGACACGGATGGTGACTACGCTACACTACTTTGGCGCTTTTTCTCATCAGTGAAATATGCTACGCGTACGCATACATCGTTCTTTTAAAGTAGGCTATCACTAAAAGCATATGTGTAATTAATCATAAAATTACTTACCATTCAACACGAACACAACGCTGAAGAGCCTGGAACTGTTAGACAGGTCCGCTCCAGCAGAAGAGGGAAAATGTCAGCTGTTTACACGTCATCGAGTTGCATTTTACATCGATAGAACTTAAAATTAAATTGTTTTTTGATTAACCCTTCTGTTATGTTAGGGTCAAAATTTACAAATTTTCAAGTTTGACTGTGTAAAAAGTTCACTTTCTTTTTTTGAACAGAGGGGAAAGTGAAGCTGAGGAGGATGTGTCTGAGGATGAGGTTCTGTATGACCCTGAACAAGACCAAACATCTGATGAGGAGGACCCAAATGTGACAGATGCTCAAAGACAGTTTTTTAAGTCAAGAAAAGTGAGAATTCATGGTAATCAAGCCCTCTTCAAACCCATTCCAGGGCACAGACAGAGAACATCCTCAGAATGACTCCAAGGCCTACTAGATACGCTGTGTCACACGCCCAAGATATTAAGTCAGCGTTTGAACTGTTCTTTCCACAACCTATTCAGAAAATCCTACTTGAGATGACCGACATGGAAGGGAGAATTTGGTGATAGCTGGACAGACATGGACCAAACACAGCTCGATGCCTACATGGGAATGTTGCTTCTTGGGGGGGCATACAGATCCTGTAATGAAGCTACAGCCAGTTTATGGGATAGTGAATCAAAACCTCCTTTTTTTCGTGCAACAATATAGTTTCAAGCCTTTCATCTGTTATCAAGAGTGCAACGTTTTGACAACAGGGAAACAAGAGTTGCTCGTCATGAGAAAGACAAGCTTTCTCTAAAAGTTTGCTCCCATCAGGGAGGTTTGGGACAAATTGGTGGAAAATTTACCCTTTGTGTACAATCCTGGGCCAGAGATGAATAGTGGATGAACGGCTAGTCCCCTTCAGAGGCCGCTGTTCCTTCAGGCAGTTCATGCCAAACAAGCCTGGAGGTATGGTATCAAAATATGGGCAGCATGTGATGCAAAAACTGCCTATGCATGGAATATGCAAATATATACCGGAAAACCTGCCAATGGAGTGGCAGAGAAGTTTATCAATGTTCTTTTTATTGTTAAATTGTTTGGTTAATTGGTATGGTTAAATAGAAATTTGTTTTATGACAAAAAAATTTACGTGTTGTCTTTATCCTACCATTTATCTATGCGGGTCCGTTTTGACCCCAAACACCAAAGATGTTACTATTGTTAATAATTTAATATAATAATAAAAAAATAAAATAAAAATTTTGGTAGGTGTACTCTAATAATAGTTTATAACAGATTTTCAGGTAATTTATACTCATTCTAAAAGAAAAATATATATATTTTGTGAATTTAAACAGTTTTTGCAATAAAAAACGAGTGGTATATTTTAAAAATACTGTGACTGTGTAGCCAACTAAAAACAATTAACACACTGGTGCCATTTATATGAATACATACTAAGCCAGTAATTAGCTGAAAAACAAAATTTGATGAAAACTGGTGATTTCATCAAAAGGAATAATTTGTGTGTTACCTGAGCTCAATAAAATAAAAATTGAAAGTAAAAAGTCTTTATTTTACACTTTACCACAACATATATATTTAAGTAATGGCAAAAGCTGCCTTTACTCACCTGTTAGAGTGTAATGTGGCCCGCGAGAGCTTAAAAGTTTTGAGTGTCTAAAAAAAATGAAAACAAAAAAACTACATTTCCCACAATGCCTTTAGCCGCAACGGTGTTTCCGCATCCATACTCACGAGTGAAACTGCAGAGCTGCAAACTCTCACACATTGACTCTTCCACATTGATTCACACATAAGACTCTTACATTTGAGTGATCTCTCACGCCACACCTCCGATTTCTCGCGCTAAAATACATTTCAAGATGTGAAATGGGCGGAGCTAATAGTTTATCTGTAATCTGTTTCTTGAGCCTGATGATAAAAGATGATGATCGATATGCATCGTCTTCAGTCTGTGAGGATTTTTTGTTTCGCTAAACAAATTACAAAAATGCTATTTTTCTTTATTCACTTGGACAGTTTGATCCTTCAATAATAGAGTTATGTGGGTTTTCATAAGCTGACAAAAATCAAAAGGATTTATATTAGAACAACAAGCATACAATTGTTTCTATCCAACTGAATTGTCACTTGAATAAGTTAAAAATAATGAGTTATTTCACATTAAGGAGTAGTTACATTTATTTTACATTCAATTACATTGTTTTACATTTATCAAGTTACATCTGGCCCTTTGAGAACATCCATTATGCTAATGTGGCCCTCTGTGAAAATGAGTTTGACACCACTGCTTTAAGGTTAACAGCAAACGTTAACCCTGCACTTTGTTCATTTTGTGCTTTTGTTCCTTTGTTTATTGGTCTTAGAGATAATCCAGCTGTAAAAAATGTCACAAACATCCTGAAAAAATAAAACCGAAGTTTCTCTGCGATTATGTGTTATGTAATCTTGTTAAAATCTATATCTTAAAATAAAAGTATCGAAAAAAAAGTATTGTTTGGAACCGGTATCGAATTCAGGGTATCGGTATCGAACATTTTTGAACGATACCCAGCCCTACACCGAACCTGCCCATCACCTCCTCATCACCTCTGTTGCCCTCAAACAGAATATCTACCTTCCTTCTCTCCATCATGTCCGCCAGCTCTCTACCCTTCCCTGTCATTGTACCAACATTAAGAGTCCCTATTCTCAGATCTATACTCCTGCCTTTCCTCTTCTCTCTCTGTGTACGAATCCTTCTCCCTCCTCTCCTTCTTCGACCATTGGGATTTCCTTGCGGAGGTTCAAATCCTGCTGAAAACGGTGTCTCTGTTGCTGTTTTAAAACTTTTTAAGAGTAAATTAAACTAAAAACTGAAAGTAAACTGTTTTTTACAGCTTCACAGGAAAGAAATTGTGTTGTCGTGGCTGAGTGGTTAAGGCGATGGACTTTAAATCTATTGGGGTTTCCCCGTGCATATTCAAATCCTGCTGACAACAGTGTGTCTTTTGCTATTTTGAAAAACGTTTGAAGTGTTATTTAAAACTAAAAACTGAAAGTACTCTGTGTTTTTCTACAGCTCTACAAAAAAAGTAATTGTGCTGTCGTGGTGGAGTGGTTAAGGCAATGGCGTTGAAATCTATTGGGGTTTCTCCGTGCAGGTTAAAATCCTCTCTGATAACCGTGTCTCTTTGGCTGTTTTGAAAAACTTTTTAAGTGTAATCTAAAACTAAAAACTGAAAGTACACTGTAATTTTGTTATAGCTGTACAAGAAAAGAAGTTGTGGCCGAGTGGTTAAGGTGATGGACTCGAAATCCATTGGGGTTTCTCACGCAGGTTCAAATCCTGCTGATGACGGTGTCTCTTTTGCTGTTTTGAAAAACTTTTTCAGTGTAATCTAAAACAAAAAACTGAATGTAAACTGTGTTTTGCTACAGCTTTACAGGAAAGTAATTGTGTTGTCCTGGCCGAGTGGTTGAGGCGATGGACTAGAAATGCATAGGGGTTTCCCCGCGCGGTGTCAAGTCCTGCTGACAACAGTGTCTCTTGTGCTGTTTTGAAAAACTTTTTAAGTGTAATTTTAAACTAAAAACTGAAAGTAACGTGTGTTTTGGTACAGATCTACAAGTAATAAAATTGTGTTGTCATGGCGGAGTGGTTAAGACGATGGACTATAAATCTATTGGGTCTTCCCCGCGCAGATTCAAATCCTGCCGATAACGATGTCTCATTTGCTTTTTTGACAAACGTTTGAAGTGTAATTTAAAACTAAAAACCGAAAGTACACTGTGTTTTTCTACAGCTTTACAGGAAAGTAATTGTGTTGTCGTGATGGAGTGGTTAAGGCGATGGACTAGAAATCCATTGGGGTTTCCCGCACAGGTTCAAATCCTGCTGATGACGGTGTCTCTTGCTGTTTTGAAATACTTTTTAATTGTAATTTAAAATAAAAAACTGAAAGTACACTGTGTTTTGATACAGCTCTACAGAAAAAAAATTGTGTTGTTGTTGCTGAGTGGTTAAGGCGATGGATTAGAAATCCATTGGGGTTTCCCCTTACAGGTTCAAATCCTGCCGATAATGGTGTTTTTTTTGCTGTTTAGAAAAACTTTTTAAGTTTAATCTAAAACTTAAAACTGAAAGTACACTGTGTTTTAGCAATAGCTTTACAGGAAACAAACGTGGTGGAGTGATTAAGGCGATGGACTAGAAATCCATTGGGGTTTCCAGCTTCAAATCCTGGCGACAACGGGGTCTCTTTTGCTGTTTTGAAAAACTTTTCAAGTGTAATCTAAAACTAAAAACTGAAAGTACAGCCTGTATTTAAGACACTCATAAGGCGCACCGGATAATAGGGCACGGGTTTTTTATACAAGCCATGCCCACACTTCCCCCTTTAACGTTCTCATGGAGTTCTCTACTCTGTCCGCCTTACAACACACAAGTATAGAAGTGTGCGTATTTAAAAAATATAAAGTGTCTCAAACTGAGTTTGATTGTGCTTTATTTAAGTATTGATTACAAAGTACTAACATTTTTAAATCATCAATCATCAATAGGCGCCTGTATGGTAAAACACACGGATAAAACAAGCATAGAAGTGTGCATATTTAAAAATAGAACGGGAGCTTGGAGTTTGGAAGCCTATTCCCTATTTTTTCACCGGTAATCGTCATCAGTCAAATACATCGAAGTCCTCATCCTCTATTTCTCACCGGTATGTCGAATTTTCATTTCTTCTGCTAGCGTTGCTGCTTTTAGTCGAATGGTGACCGTCGAAATGCTTCTCCTACTAGTTCTTTGCTCAATGATCCACTGCTCCAGTCTTTCCTCCAACTAGGGCCACCTCGCCTTATGTCCGCGGAAACTCAGCTGCGTCTTCTTAATTGAAAGGAAATCTTGATGAAAAGAAATTTTTTTCATACCATGAGTTTCTAAAATGTACAAAACTCCAGTATTTGCCATTGTTTTTGGTGCCATTCCATCAGGTGTTATTATGATCTACAAGGGTTACTCATTTCCTGAGACTCTGTCACTTAACCCAATTGATACACCCATAGGGAAACTATGTTTTCAATCAATGTCCAAAAGAAACAAATGTCAAAATCCGTACTTTATTCCAATCCAGTTGTATTTCAGTTCCACGTGCTATTTCTGCCTGGAACAGGATTGTACAAAACTTGTGTTGGGAAAAGATATGGTCCCTTTCTAATAAGTATATTTTGGTAAACAAAGTCAAAGAAATTTCCTTTAAACTCCTCCATCATTGTTACTCTGTCAAGTCTTTCTTAATAATGTTCAAAAATGACATTGATGTTTTTTAAGTTTTCTGTAAATCACACTCTCGAAGACTCTACACTCAAAATCTGTGGAGAAACAGCTCTCATTTAATACAGAGTTTTATTCATAACTCCTTTTCATTATGTTTTGAAAATTAGCTATTTGGTTTAACAAAATGTGAAAACGAGTATTATATCTGTAACTTAATAATTCTACTTGCCAAATATTACATCCACAAGTGCAAAGTATTAAAAATGAGACCTACATTCTGTGTTTTCAAAAAAGAAGTAGAATTTTATGTGTCAACTATCATTACCTCATCAAACAAAAAAGCTGTGAAAACCTCATCTCCTTGCTTTACGATTAGGATATTTTTATAATGCATATATTCTCAAATTTTCTTATGACATTGATATTTTGTTTATCCTCTGGTGCTTTTTTTTCTTCCTTTTTTGTTCGTATTTGGTTCATACTTTTTTGCCTCTTGTCTTTTGTACCTTTGTATGTTATCTTATGTACTGCTTATAATTCTTACTGTAAATGAAAAGTTCTCAATAACAAAAACAGCCCTCCCACTTCTGAAACTAGGGAAAGGACAATAAACTGAACTGAGCCTTTCATTGGGATTCTTCCCATGACCCAGGGTAGTTATGTTTGATTAGCCTCAAGAGAAGAAAAAAAGAAATACATTTGGTGAAAGATATAGCGCCTGTACAAATGGAGCAACGTTTTTACTCGGTATGGCTTTCATCTACGTAAGAGACGTTGTGAGATGTGTGCAGCTCATTACAGGTGTCAGCGACTCAACACTTCGAGAGTACAAAGTTGCGTCGACCGTCTCCAAGCCCGTAACTACTACAAACCTCAGCAGCATCATCCTCATCGTCATCTTCATCCCCCTCCACAACATGGCGCCAGAGCAGCTGGAGCGCGCAGACGCCTGCGCAGACCTTCAACAAGTTCACTAAACGCAGCGTCGCGAAGCATTTAACGAATCTCTGCTTTCTTATATTTGCACAAAGTTCTGTTTTTCTATTCGGTTAGTCTTTTGACCGTGTCTGTGAAACTAATCGTGAGCTCAGCTGAAGGAACAGCCCGTTCTGGACTCTGAAATGACACGGATGGTGAAATTCCTCTCCTCAGAAAAAGAAGCAGATGTAACTGAGCTCGAGACGCCTTTCTTCTGAAGAGATGCATCTGAACATGAGCGAAAACAACTACCCACTGGAAGATAGGGACAGGGACAGACTGCCTCCGATCCTTCACCATGTAAGTGTTTCCTCCTTTATTTCTCAGATATACCAAACAGAAATCAAAGCGCGAGCTGAGCTCGTGGTTTGGAAACTTTTGATCAAACTGAGCTAAGGCCACGAATCTGTAACTATAGAAAATGAGTAAAATAAAGGAAGAAAACGAAAGTCTTAAAAACGGGGGAATAGATAAAAGAGTTTACAGAAAGGTAGAAAGTATATTCTCGTTCAGTAATAATTGCTTAGCGTTTTAATTCATCAGTGTATTGCTTTGAGTTTCAACAAAGAGGAGCTACAAGACATAACTACCAACAAAACTCATAACTAGAATAAATAAAACGCTTCAGACCACAAAACTAATGTTCTGTTGTTATGTTGAATGATAAAGAATAAACAAACTGAACATTTTCTGGTTTGCTGGCAGTAATAATAATAATAATGCAATTTTATCAAACATGTTTAAATAAGCAGTCTAAAGGCTTTTTGAGAAAACATTGCTAAGTATAGGTAATTCAGCTACATAATTGGAAAACTTTAACAATATACCTGTTTTATATATATATATATATATATATATATATATATATATATATATATATATATATATATATATATATATATATATATATATATATATATATATCATACTGTATAGTTCAGTGACATCTACAAGAAATGTAGACTTGTCACTCACTTTGTAATATTTATAATTGAAGAGGAGGCTTTGGAGTTCTTTATTGTTTATTGGGAGGTCAGATATGTACTAGATGTTTCAAAACCAACAGGTTGGTAATTTATTAAATTAGGGAAGGATTTCAAAACAACTATGGTAACTACATGTTAGAAGGAAAAAAAGAAGGAATAATAATAATAAACTCCATCACTTCAGTTCTATTTTGACTTATATGGTGTCTTTTGTGAATTTTTGCTTCTCAGCCGTTTTATTTAATGTTGCAGTGGAGGTTGGGCTTGTCAAAAAGAGCAACATATTTGAACTGTTGTCCTCACATTTGTTTGTTTAAACATATAAAGAACTTTTTATTTCTAAATAAAAAGTTTATTTCTAACTTTTAATTTCTTTTTATTACATAAATGCTTTACTTGAGACAACAAAACTTTTCTCAAAAGTGCACAAATCCACAATACCCAAGTCCGAGCTCCTTTACATCAAGCATCTTCTGATATCCTTATCTAAAACTGTGATAAATTAAGCAATTTAACAGAATTGTTTGGTGCCTCTTTCTCCATTTTCTTATTTTCTTGAGCACAACAGCACTAGCGGTGATGTGGAAAGTCAGCAAAAAGGGCGTTTGTATGTTAATCCATGCAGCTACAGTGTGAAGAATAATTAAGTCGCTTGAATGCATCATCACTGTCATGCATTTTTAAAAGTGAATCTACATTGTAATCTATTTTTAGAAGATGCTCCTCATGACGTGAGTTAAAAAAAAAATAACCTGGCTCTGCTTAAGCATATGAATCCCACCATAAGAGTCTGAAACATCTACCCAAGAATGAGAAGCTGCTGCTTGGCTCAATTGTGTTGCTTCTCCCACAATGAAAGTTTCATTCAGAATTAAAACCCAAAGGTTAATATCACATCCAATACAAAGGTGGGCAATAGGTGCCCTCTATCAATAGGTTAGGTTCCCTAGAAACGCCAACCCAATTGCCAGTGAGCATGGTGGATGCATGTGTTTGTTGTCTTCATTTGTGTTAGAGTTCTCACCACACACAAACCCCTCTAGAGATCATTTGGAACCGGCCTGATACTACCTCACAGAGCAGTTTTTTAGTCTGCTTTGGGTGTGGTTTAGAGTTCCGTTGTTGCTTAATCACCTACCCAAACGGCTCAAACTTAAAGGGAAAACGAACTCTAGTTTGATTGAATCTAACTTAACAAATCAGGTGTGAACGAACCCTTAAACTACACCTACATAGAACTTTAATGGACCAAGAACAAATTCTACTGCAAAACATAGAAGTTCACAAAATATTTACAGTATTTTTTGTCAATGACATTTGCATCTATACATTTGGCAGATGCTTTCATCCAAAGCAAGTAACATTTCCAGGTTCTTTTTCATTTCCATGGCAACGAAAGGCTTTAAATAGAGACACAATAACCATTAACAGGGTTAATATAACATTCAACCATAATACAAAAACAAGAAGAAGTCCCACGAGTGTGCATGAGAAGAAAGAGGGCTCAAGCTCAGTTGCTATTGACACTCCAAATCAAAAGCATTTGGAGCAGGATTCATCTCAGTGGAAAAATTCAGTTACATTAATGTTTTAACACTTAGACAATTTTTGTAAGCATGACATTTATTTGAATCTATGTAGGTTCACAAGTGGAAACTGCACAATACCAGTAGCTTGGCACTGAGAGTAGGAGGAGCTTTGTTGGATGACATGTCGGTGGCAGGAAGCATGTACTATATTTCTAAGAAAGAACTCATTTCAGCGTCTCTTTAATACTAAAAGGGCCATATTATACAATTTGCAAAGCATTTAATAATAAATATTTAAGCCATCTATACTAGCCCTGCA